GTCAAGTCCAACAGCTTTATATCCACTACAGCATGGATAGGGACAGGCAAAATGTGACTGTTGTGTTGGCAGAAGAAGGATCATGTATCAGCAGCAAAGTTCTACTATAAAAAGCCAGCTCTTTTTATGCACAACTGAAGATATTTAGAGCCTTTACCAGTCAGTAAAGACAGAAACATATTACAGCTTCAATAATCACTGCTTCTGTATCTGTATGCAAATACACATAAACACATACATGCACATGCACACGTATCAGGTATCAGTTTAGCTTTGTAAGAAAGGTTACACATTTATGTAAGAATGTTTCTTCGTATATATGCATGTTTCTTTAGAAACTAACCAGATGATGAATAATACAGCCTGTGCTATTGATTCTATGCTGCTCCCACACCTTTTGTCAGTATGCAGCAGAATGTTTTGAATATAACAGATTATAGAAGTTCCTAAGAATAGGAATCGATAGATTTTGGATGCTTACAAGAGAACTGGATGAGAAGTAAGACAGTGAGATAAATGAATTAGCTGTAAATGTCTGTGAAACAGATAATTTACCCACAAAACAGTTAAAATATCTGATATTCAGGCTTCAAAGTGAGCACAAAAAGTTTTAACAACTTAATTAATTTCTTCCCAAAATCTGATCTCTCCAGAGAATACTACTGGGTCAGTTACATTCAATTCATGTTTTAAAAGCTCTCTTCCCCTTTGCTTTTCTACTCTGAGAGCTTACTATGTATTTTTCAGCTGAAAAATAATTCATGGTATTCTGTGAAAGGTTTGGCAAGTACGAACATATGAAGTATGGAAATTTGAAAGGTATGGGGCTGTATAAACAAAACCTATTTGAATTACTCTCCCATGCAATTTCTAATCAACTAATGAGGGGAGGTAAGTATTCTAACACAGCTTTGATTTTTACAATTGCTCCTGTACCTTCGGTGTATGATGAACATTTAAAAAAAAAAACATGAAAAAAAAAGCATTTTATGAATTTGCACCCAAAACCAAACTAGAATCTTAAACCAGTAAATTCTTAAAATCCTTAGAAGTCCTCACATGCGATTCTATGAGCTTAAATTCATTTTAAATTCATAGCTGAAACACGGTTACAGACTTTATTTCAGGACAAAAACTCTCCAAAAGATTTTTGCCTGGGATTTTCCAGATATTCTTTGTACACAGACTTAGTTCTGTGATAAGTAAGCTGGAGCTTCAGGTTGAGACAACATTATGCAATGTTGATTTTTAAATTTCATGTTCAGGATTGTAACACCCCCTCTCCCTCCCCCCAATAAATAACAGGGATTCAAAATTCAGTTTTCACCTGACTTTCCCTAATAAGTCTAAATGAATCAGAATGTGTAAAGCAAAGATGCAGTACTTCCCTAGCACAAGTAAAGCAGTCACAGCTGAAATACAAAACGAAACAGAGAAGTTAGACTTTCACAGAACTTAATGAGGCAGGGTACTAGTACCATTACGGGGAGGTAAGTAAATAAGGTGATTACTCAAACACATCTCACACTGAGGTCTGGCAATTTATGAAAGATGAATTTTAAGATTAAATTTGTAATGATAGGTATAACACTCTATTTGGAGCTTTGAATTACCTAACCCATTTCACAGTACTCAAGTTATGTAAAATCAATTAGTACAATATTGTATTAAAGCTATTTCCTTGTTTCAGTTCACCAAAGTGCACAAAAAGAAGTTTGTAAATAATGTCTTTATGGAAGAAAAATAAAATATGAAAAGAAGGTTCGATGTCGCTGCTGTTTTTCACCTGGATTATTGCATGACTGGAATTGCAGACTTTTGGTTAGGACTGACAACGAATAAGCAGGTAAGAGTACTAAAAATTGTAGTTAATAAGCAACTCATTAACTGAAAAGACATAAGAAACTCTCATCAAGAAACTGAGAAAAGGAAAGATCAGTAGAAAGAAGAATTCATATACTGTAGAGAAAAAACTTAAACCAAGGATCTGACTATTCCTATAGAATGGCTATTGCAAACCACTTACTAGCACTGCACATGGGATGGATTATATTACAGCACCTCTCATATATTATTTAAGGTTTTCAGCAGTGAATGCCTCAGAAAATCAAAAGCACAGAAGACTGAAAAAAAAACCCAAATCCTCCAGACATAATTGCTAGCATTAAACCTTATGCAATACAAACTGATGCCTCTAAAATCTGTCAACATTACAGATTCAGAAACATTTGTGAAGTATTCTGAACACCACCACTTTTCCTACAATACTGAGTATCATCACTGATAAGCCTGATGCTACTGAATTTTAACCAGTGCCCCTTCAAAAAAGAACTCTAGCAAAAGCAGGAAAAAAACCCTGCAGAGAACAACCAAACTGGAGTCTTAGAAGAAATTCTGCAATGGAAGATGGCAGTGGACTTTCCATTTCTAGATAAACACAGCACTATCTCAGCCAGCAACATTACATCTTCCTGATTTACATTACCTTCCTTGTCCAGTGAGATCTTGAAATGGGAATAGGAGGCTTGTAACTAGTCACAAGTGGAAAGTGTGAGAGCTGTTCGGTTTATTGGGGGTGGTGAGTGTTTTAAGGAATGCTAGCTACAGTACTAGCATATGCTACTCCAATCATCTCCACAGAGCTTTCTGATCTCTTTTTTTTCTGGCATTCACAGTTTCCTTCAGCCTACCGTCCCGGTATCTTACATGCATTCAATGCAAAAATCCAGTTAGCAGCTCAGAGGTCAAATTACACTCTTCTCTCTTGACAAACTCCAAACTGACATTCTGTTCAGAGAGAGACAGATTTTCAACAGCAACCGGGGAAAGGTAAACAAGACTGCTTCCTCTGGTATGGAGAAAATGTAAGTTCAACCCTCTCCAAATGTTCTGGCTCTATCAAAGAGCATCCACACAGACTAAGTGAGATGAAATTGTCTAAAGAAGATAGACAAAGGCCAAGTAAGTACCTGAAGTTGCTAGAGAGGGCAGACAGCTGTATCTGAGAAATCGGGATGGGTTTTTATCAGAAAGATATTACAAAGCTGTAATATGTTTGGAGGGCCAACCTGCTCAGGACAGCCATTTGAGCTGCATACTTACAGCTACCTGGGAAGGAGTCAAGAGTTGTAATATGCACAGTCTTTTGCAGGCAGATATGAGCTTATTTTGCATGAGCTGACTAGAAGCCATTGTGCTATGATAGCATACCATTGAGCACGTGCCGCAAAGCAGTGTGTATTAGATCAGGCAACATACCATTCTCATGTGTCCCCAAGTCCTCAGGCTGACACAGGGTGCAGGCTATAGTAACTCATATCAGTTTGCAAATGGGTGTACACATACACTCACAGAAAAAAAAATACAAAAAGAATAAGAAAGATTTCAAGACCAATGTGCAATGAATCCATCAACTGTGAGGTAGGAAGAAGTGAGGTTTGCAGGATCAGGGATAGGTATGAGTCCCTGAGAAGAGGCTGGGAAAAATTAACATGAAGACAGAGCTTATGGTGTGGGCAGACCAACACTGGACATGCTCATTCAGCAAAAGGGCATCATTAAGCCCCAGATTTATAATGGACACTTTTTCACTTCTTTCAGAGGCAGCTCTTCAACTGACAAAGGTTAAACACTGGAAGAGTGAGACATGTAACATTGTACAGGTCTTTACAGAATGACCTGAGTCATTTTGAAAGAATTTTTCTGAGCAACTTTTCTTCTAGAGATTTCAGTGCAAAGCAACACAATTATACTACCAATCTCTCTTCAAAATCAATTCAACTCTGGTACAAATATCTACCTCTAGTCACATATACCAACAGCTGATATTCACATACACGTATCTGCATTTAAGCCCAATATAACAATATTTGCAATATGGCAGTTATTACCTTCTATCTTTCATTCTCTTCCAACCACATACAAACTGTCAATAGTAACTATTACTTTTTCCCATGAACTTTTCACATATTGCTCATGAAAGGGAGACATTTAATTTGATGAAACAGCACAAAGACAAAAACGGTTCTTGCTACAGTTATGTAAAAAAAATTTCTATTTTACTTTGCCTCCTATCAATGTATGTTTTATTTAGCTCTTTGAAGGATATCTGGTTTGGATGCAGCACACAACATAGACTGTACTACTGATACATACTATTCACCTAATAATTTTCCTGTGATGTACGTAAAAATATTAACAGAATCTGTAATATACAAGGAGAAAAAAAAATAAATGCTTAAAAGAACTTGCCTAATATGCTAAAATATTTCAACAAATTGATATTCAGAAATTGCTATGACTCAAGCCTTTGTAAGGTTTTGTCAGAACTGAAACTCTTCTTACTCATCCTATTTTCATTCTCACATCTACAGCAATTTTTAGGAATGCATAGATCATATTGCACGTATTTATATAAGTGCACCTTGGTGTTGCATATACAAGTTTGATATACAAATATAAGCATACTTGTTAAAGATCTATTTAAGTATTCTAGCTGCACAATGTTAAATTGGTCGGTCTCTTATTGAAATCCATTTCTCACCTTCACAGAGCAGAAAAAAATCTACTTTAAATATCTATCATAACTCCAGCAATGGCATCTGGAACCTGTAGGTCTTGTGAGCATCTTGCTTACTTTTTTGCACTGATTCAATTGGGTGTAATAGTGAGAACATACTGACTTCACTTAAGTAACTAAGGAAATGAGGTACATCTGCAAGATGAAAAACACCATTATATACAAGCTCAGATGAGAAGACTGGTCAAAACTGCTAAAGAAAGAAAAACAGAAAACTCAGAGCAACTCTTCTAATTGTCTTCTAAATAGCTTGAAGCCTGTTTTCTAATTAATTTCCAACTTTAAATTTACAGCACTGAAAGTCATTGTCTCTGCTGACGCATAAACCAATTATTTACTATACAGATGCCTAAGAATGAGAAATGCCAATTCAAGCCAAAGTGAGATGACTAAGGCAAAGCAAATGTTTTGCAGTACTCACCTTAGGCACCCAGTGGCATTGCGCAGCACCTGTGATGAATGGAGTTGTATTTTATGATCATCCTGGAGCGGAGAGTTTTCCCATCCAGAGTGGGGAATGATCACTGCATTGGTCAACACTGCAAGGGCATCCTGGATGATTGGCATTTTCAGTGCATCACAGGAGGATAGATTCCAGAGAACTCCTACAAAAAAAACCAAATAACTAATAATTAATATTTCTGCAAAAAAAAAAAATTGAGTACTTTTCATTAAAAAAATACCAGCAAAACATTTCACGACATGGGTGTGCTTACTAAAGCTGTTCCTGTCAAGAAAAAATGCCCTTACAATTTAGATGGGGCTGAATGACACCCTCACTGTTTTGCAGTGCAAATACGACTTTGAATACACAAGTAATCAAAGCAATACTGGAAATTTTTGAGAACTAAACCTAAAAAATTAGCAGCTGGTTATGATCTTGGCCTGTTTAGGCTGCGAACCACACGTGGAATGAAGGACTGTTACATACTTTTTTTTAGGGCTTGGACTTCAGATTTCTGTCTTCTAAATGAAAATAATAAAAAACAATAGTAGAAAATAGGTCCTGATTTATGCTGTCACGTTGATAGATATGCAATTAGAGAACAAAACCACAACCCTGTGATCTTCACTGTAATGAAAGTAACTGTCTAGGGTAGTTGGTACTACAAGCAAAAAGACTTCCTCCACAACCTGATACGGTAGCATGGTATTATCCCAGCCTTCAACAAGTCGTTTTTTATTTTGCAAATGTTTTACTACTCAAAGTTACAGAATACTACTAGTTTTGCACAGAAACAACCAGCTTAATTGTGCAACTCACAAGAAGATTTACTGGAATTAAAACCAAAACCCTTCTGTTAAAATTCATCATGTGCTAAAGAAAAGGAAGAGCAAACAAAAGCCAAAGCTTTCTGAGCACTGCCACAAGGATCAGGGCCACTGCCAATGTGCCACACAGAAAGCAGGCGAGACATTGTTAGGGGCGAAAGAGACTCTGCTTTTCATTCCCTTTTGCATATTTGTATAGTTGCTGGAAAAGTACATTTGATTTCTGTGCTGTGCCAAAACCCTACTGCTGCTGGGCAGCAGTGCTGCCCTAGTGCTGCTCCTAGTGTTGGGGGAAGGCCGAGGACAGCACACTGTTCTGGAGAAGCAGAGGCCTTTATTCTAGGCGAATGTCCTCCCAAGAGTAGCTGGAAGAGCAAACCTACCTCTTCCTCCGCTCCCCTTGCCAACATACGTCCTCTCCTCTAGAGTCCAACTTTGCTCCTTGCTGCTTTTCATCCTGTACTGACAGTAGCCTGGGCACACACTAACCCTGAGTGGCAAAACTCAGTTTTGCTTTTATGGCTACAAAGTCTTGAACCAACACAGAGGTACACAGAATTGCAGAATGGTTAGGGTTGGAAAGGACCTTAAGATCATCTAGTTCCAATGCTCACTAGACCATGTCACCCAAGGCTCTGTACAACTTGGACTTGAATACTGCCAGGTATGGGGCATTATCATCATTATACACGAGGTTACAAATACGAACACTATGAAAAAACAAAGCGAGTGGTGGTGGGAGGAAACTGCTAAAGACCTTGTGAACATTGACTAAGACATTTATAAATATAAGCAGCAAGAACGCCACTTGCTCAAGGCTTTCTTTAGCATTCTGTGTTTTGAAGGAGGTGTAATTAACAGGAATGAACCTACATTTCTGGGTTTCCCTTTAAAATTAATTACCTCTATGGGGAGACTGTTTCAGTTATACCATTTCATATTTTAATTATTTTATATGGAACTGTATGCAAAGACAGTCATGCGTTTTAATGTGAAAATTTTGCTTAGCATACTAATAGAAAAACCAAACCACCTTAAAAAAGTATGTGGTAAACAGGCAGAAACTGACAGACTTTAGCTACAGACCAAAGAAAAGAAAAAAGGCAGAAATAAGAATAGTGTTTGTATTTTAAGAATTAGTGCTTTAAAGGGAAAAAAATCTTTGAATTCTTTTCTAAATACCTTTATGAAAAATAAAGACCTTCATAAAGATATTACATTTTAAAAATTATATAAAGGTATTTATAATCACTTTTCTATGATCTGCTCTTTGTAAGCTTTATTGACACATGTACTATTCCTGAAATACTAATATTTTGGTGGTTTTAGTCAGTACAAACAACAATGTGGCTGTTTTGTTTTGTTGTTTTACATTTATCCAGACAGGTGTAACTGATGTGCATGGTATAAAAGCAGAGAATCCGAATGCGAATCTTTTTCCTTCAAGGTCCAATCTAATTCTTAAGTGAGACAGCGTGTTACTCTTTGTGAAGAAGTCCTACTGTGGAAGTGAAGCAGAAAAGAGGGCTTTAATGGCAACAAAAGAGTATTTTGGGTTTCAAGAACTACTCATAAACTGGAAAAGATAAAAAAAAACACAAAAGAAGCAAACATAACAGCTCTGCCGAGAAAAATACTTCAAAATGTGTCTGTCTACTCTATTTTCTATTCGCTCTAAGTTCTTGCTAATTAAAAGTAAACACATAAGCATTGTGATAAATTGCTATTCAGCAACACCTGAAATGCCCAGAAATAGTCTTCAAGCCTTTTTTATCTGTTTAAAATTGACCTGACACTGCACATGAGCTTTTGCTCAATAAAATGCCATAGTAACGGGTGAGGTCCAAATCCAAATAAACCTCTACATATTCACCCATGAGCCGAAAAGTGGGGTCTGTTTTCATTAACTGGAAATTAAACCTTCCCAGTAACAGGATGAAGCTGTTCTACCTTCTCCTAAAATGAACCTAAATCAAGGCAGAATCAAGCAAAACAGCACTGCCCAGTAAGCCTGAAACTGTCTTCAAAGTTTCTGCACCTACACACAGTTTTAAGGGGTAAGATAATCTTTCACACTAGAATGTTTTACCTAATTTTAAGTCTTTGAATACTACCAACTGCATTAATGGAAACAACAATTTTATTCTGACAAGCTGTAATTTATTCTCACAAGTAGCAGAGTCTGTCACTTGCTGAAGCTGGCATTTTAAGTGCTCCTTCTACCCTTTCTTAATTAAAGATTTGCAATTATGAAAGGGCCCTGTCAATTCACTACCCATTACTTTTGCTGAGCATGACCTGGAGATAGATTTATGTGGGGTCTAAGAAGATGATCCATTGCCTTGTCTTTGCAAGGGAAAGTGGTAAAAAAAAAAAAATAAACCTTTTACCTGAGGCACATCCCATTATGGAGCTAACTCTTCTCCACATGACTCTGAACATATTTTCCAAGCATGTACGCAGTAAGACTGTTTTAAGGATTTGGTCACTGAGATGATTTGCCACCCTTACTCTGAAAGCCCTGACTGCATTGGGTTTGAGCACAATGAGCAAGTCTAGAACAGCCTCAGAGGTGCCTTGACTGCCCCCTAAATCATTTGTGTGTCATCAGCTGCCCACAGGGAGGTAAGGGAGAGGACTCAGCACACCAGTGATACATCACAAATAGCGGAACCCATCCTACTGCGTATGTATTGGTAGAGAGCTGCTAATCCAACAAATCAACAGTTTAGCATCCACAGACTGACTCCTGGGAGAGAAGGGAAACAAGGACCTCATCAGATCAGTATTGAATACCTCTTAATCAACTGTGTCCACAGTATCTTATCTCTTCCTTTCTTTTAAGGTTGTGAGGCAGAGTGAGCATTTTGTCTCTCCAGTTGCCGACCACTTTAAGTTGTGTTGGATGCTTCATAGAAAAATACCTACACCAGACTGATCACGTTTATTCGCAGGTTAAAATTTCTCACCCTTACATGTAACAAACTAAAGCACATGGGAAAAGGCTCTTGCAATCTCATTTTGAGTTGAGAACTAATGAGAAACTGGTACTGAAAGCACTCAGGTGGTTTAGGTTTGTCTTTGGGGTCTCTGTACCAGTTTTGCAGATAGGACGTGATGGGCTCTTAAGAGTAATCTACAGAAATGCTCACTATGGAGATCTCGCTGTACCATCTTACTTCTTCTGGAGTAGCTTATGAGAGCACATCCATCTACTATGTTCAACAGGTCATTTAATGCACTAAATGTAAATATTTTGTAATTTAAGGCCTTTCACTGATCAAATTTAAAACAATCAAATTTAAAAACTAGTTATAAATTTTGAAAAAGATTATAATCAATCTTTTCAAAGACATAACTACAGACACAGTTCATAAGGAAATTTACACACAGATCTTAGAAAAGGCAATTTAAGAGGGAATTGAGAGAACAGAGAACCAGGAAAACTTCAATTTCTCCTTCTCTTAGCCAAAGTCCAGAAGTCTGAAGACAAGACCAACCCTTTTAAAAGTGGGCTGAAGAGATATTACTACTCCTTAGCACACACAGGTTATGCACTATGCTTTCAGCTTAGAAAAAACATACCTTTCCACATAAATGAACTTAAGCTATTGCAATAGATACGACATCACTTACATAAAGAAACGAAGCAAAACATTCAAAAATTCCAAGTAACTCAATTTACTGGAGCAGTCTGAGCCAAAACCCCATCACCTCTGAATCAGCTTGGAGCTCAAACTCATCTTGATTAAACTCTTCACTGCATTTTTTAGCCAGTGTTTTGCTTAGAACTGGTACTCACACGTGTATCTATAGTCAGATATAACTAAAGACCTGCTGAGCCACATGCTATCCTTATTCCATTCAAAATTAAGAAAACAGAGATCATATATTTTGATGCAAAAAGTATCACCCTAGCAAGAAAGCATGTGCTATAGCAGGTAAGTCTAAACAATTATGAAGTGTATGATTTAATGCTACCTCAAATTACAGAATCAGAATAGTTAGGGTTGGAAAGGACCTTAACTCATATAGTTCCAACCCCCGTGCCATGGGCAGGGACACCTCACACTAAACCATGCCACTCAAGGCCTCATCCAACCTGGCCTTTAACACTGCCAGGGACAGAGCATTCACAACCTCCCTGGGCAACCCATTCCAGTGCCTCACCACCCTCACAGTAAAGAATTTCTTCCTTATATCCAATCTAAACTTCCCCTGTTTAAGGTTTAACCCGTTACCCCTTGTCCTGTCACTACAGTCCCTAATGAAGAGTCCCTCCCCAGCATCCCTATAGCCCCCCTTCAGATATTGGAAGGCTGCTATGAGGTCT